TCGCTAAACCCGGAAATCCTGCTGCACACGCTTTACTTTCGTCTCCAACAGCCCCAATACATTGTCCGAGATTTGAAAACCGCATTTACAGCTTTCTTAGCCTTGCTAATGCCCCTCCTGGTCCCAGCGGGCTGTAATTCAGCTCCTCAAGCTTCAAACCGAGCCCAAATGCATTTCCCGAGGCCTGGTAAACGCATTTGGCTTGCGTTGCAGCAGTGCTAAACCTCCATGCCGTCGCTAAACCCGAAAATCCTGCTGCACACGCTGTACTTTGGTATCCAACGGCCCCAAATGCATTGTCCAAGCCTGGAAAACCGGATTTTACAGCATTCTTAGTCTTGCTAATGCCCCTCCTGGGTCCCAGTCCCGGGCTGTAATTCACCTCCGGAAGCTTCAAACCGAGCCTGCATGCATTTCCCGAGGCCCGGTAAACGCATTTGGCCTGCGTTGCAGCAGTGCTAAACCTCCATGCCGTCCCTAAACCCGAAATCCTGCTGCACACGCTTACCTTAAGCGAATCAGAATCTTTTGTTCAATGCCTGCATCTACAGCTCTTTGAGCTTTTCTGGCACCCGTGATTGTGAGCCCGACGACAGCCATTCCGCTGTTGGGGTTATTCAATGGGATTATGCAAACAGGTGAAACTCTGAGAGTAACTGAGTCATGAGTTCCGGACCTTTGTGACGTTTTCGTAAGTCCCAAACTGATGACAGCGAATTCAAAAGTAGAAGATACTTCGATTTGACTGGCTTGTAGCTGCAAAAGCTCACCTGTGCGGAGGAGGCAGTAAACGGCCACCTCAAGTGCCAAAGCTACAGTTGGTTGACCCGAAAGAAGGAAAAACCGCAAAGACAGTGTAGCAAGTCTTCGGGCGGCGGTGGAGCCCGGTTAGGGACTTCCTTCTTCTGCCACGTCTTGACTAGGCGCCACGAGAGCGACAAACTGCCTCGGAACCTCGGCCGAAGGTCCTGCAACCCCGACAGCCGTCCGTCGCCAAAGAAAGACTTTCCCCCTGCCGCCACAAATGTTCAATGAATTCAGCGAAAATTTGATCGACTCCCTCCGCATCGTCCGGGATCCTGAGTCCCTGCGTCTGAGCATAGAGATAGGCCTCGTATCGTTGTTTGGTGGGAGAGGCCACCGTATTTGATCGCAAACTCCCTAACGCTGCCTTGCCACCTTTCGTTCCTGCTTTGTTCTGGCCACTACCGTTACTTTCCCCATTTTCGCTTTACACGGAGACGCCGACTTGGTCGGTCGGCCGGGTTCGTGTGGCTAGACACATAGGCAAGGAACGGGTGGAGGCCTGTAGCCAGAAGCAGCGAGGAGATGCGATACATCAAAGATTGGATCTTACGGGAGCTGGAGCGACCGCGTGGAAGAACGTGCAAACACACCATGGAGTCAGTAAGGTGGATGAAACGAGTCTTCAGTTCTTTTCGCCTGAGAACTCGCCATCTCAGGGCAGTGTAGACCGCCCGAAGTTCAAATCGATTTATGTGGTCATTTCTGCCGCCGGCCACGGACACCCACAGATGGTCCTCCATGACCAACGATTCGAGGGGATTGTGGTGCGAAAACGCTGATGATCATAGAGAGTGGCCCCCAATTGTATCATGATGTCATTCCCTTTGCCGGACAGCAAAGTGAGCAACTTTGGAACCAGCCGGCGCTCTGTGTTGCATTGCTCTTCACTTCTGCTTTTTCCGAGCGGATGCCAAGCCAGCAAGCTGCTTGAAAAAATCGGTTGGTCACCGAAAAGACTTGAAACGAGTTGCTTCAAAGATTTGACAACGCAGAGCTTGTGGGGCCGAAGGAGCTGCAGTGCTAGTGGTCTTTGGCAGTGCATGTGCAAGTTGTATAGGGCTAGTAAATCGACCGTGGCCGCGAACACCGGAACCTCGAAGAAGGCATAGGTCGCCTTGCGCCCATACTTGCCACAAGCATCCCTGCAATCAGGGTCACACGCGTGGCCTGCTGGCGTGCTTCATCTTCAATGACGCCCAACAAGCATCTCAGCACTTCGAACCTCGCCGCTGAAAAAGCCTTGGTGTGCACGTCACTCGGGTTGGTCTCGGTGGGGTTGGGTGACTTCTGCTCCTTAAGGCCCTGTTGGACCCAGAGACGTTTCGTCTCGAGGTGGTGCTCTTTTCCCACGCCCTTTCGTTGAAAGATGCCGCGGAAGAACGCGAAATCTCCTTGTAGAAGATGCCTTCGCTGGTTGCCATCACGCCCATTGAACTCTGCCCCGCCCGAGCTTAGGAATATCATGCTGAGCCTGAACAAAGGCTTTTTGTTTCCAACCCTCTCCGACGCCCGCACTCAGCAGGTCAGGGCAAAAGCTTTAGCAAAGCTGGAATAATAAGGCATCAGATTAGCTAATAAAGCTTTCAATGAGGCTCAACTGAGCAGTTGCTGAGTCATGCAACTGTCATCCTTTGCAAGCATCGCACCCATCCAATCACAACCACGCAGTCATCCATCCAGCCGTCGCAACCATCCCACCTTCCATCCAATCAATGCATGCTATTTCATTGATAGTTCATGCCAACTCATGCTTGTCCTCATTAGTTCTGTGTACTTCTCATCTGCTGTCACCAGTTCTCATAGCGATGGTAGTTGTTGTGGTAGTGGTAGCAGTAGTAGCAGTCGTCGCATTTGTCGTCGTAGTAGCAGCAGCTGATTTGAGAGTCGAAATCCTGGTTGTCGCAGGAATGATGCAGCGAAATGCGAGTGACCATGGCTGCAACGCCCTTTTCCCTGGATCGGCTCATGTACAATGTCCTGTCTGATGCACAGTTCGGCTTGCAAAAGTAATGCCTGAAAGGCTGAACGGAAGATGAGCGTTACAAGGATCTCGAATAAAATGCTGCGATAAATGAACGGCCACGAGGCTTGGAAAAACCGCAGATTGCACAACACACCGAAGGTACTTGCAGGCGGACAAGCAGGCTTGCCTGCATCTTAACACGGGTTGTCCACGCCTAGATGTTGTAGTTGTCGTTCTCTCCAAACCGCAGACTTTACCAGACCTCTGTACATCAATTTCTGGTTGATGTGAAACATGCCATTTGCCAGTCTGCGCTAGCGTTCGCAAGGCACCGCGACTGACCGCGGTGAGCCCAGCAGTCACCATATCTCTGGTGTCTATCCAGCCTAAGGCATGGATGATTGGACCAAGAAATTCTCGAAGTTTTTTTGCTTCGGGGCTCCGTCGAGAAGTTTCAAGAGATGCATAAAAACGGATTGATCAGTACACGTGGGTTCTTCGCTCACGGCCCCGCTTACAACTGACTTGGCATACAGGATAAGGAACAGCTTGAGTGCGTTCTCACCGCTGTCTTGAATCCGTGCCAGCTCGACTGCTGACTTGGGACCCGTCAGGATCTCGGTCATGCCGGCATTTATGATGGTTGCAAGACGCATCAAATCAAGAGCGGAACGAAGCTCTCCCGCGTGTGTACAGCGACACACCTTTGACTGCTTCTTCGAAACGTACTCTAGGACTCTAGGACCCGAAGCTTATTGACGCCGACACGAGGCCCAGCATGACTCGTAAGCGCGATGATTCCGCTTCTCACTGCTGCATGGTCTTGATCCTCACCCTTAAAGCTCGAATCGGAAATCGCAACAATAGACCATGGACCTTCAAGCTTCTTCACCACGTCAGGCGGCTTCACTTTCAGGTACTTCATGACTCTGTTGAGGTTAAAACAGAGGTTGTCTGCACACTGCCATGTTGGTTTTACAAAGGGTTTCGGCACCACTCCGTTTCAATTCGATCCAGACAAGCTTGGTAAAACCATGGTTTGCGCTTGTTCTTGGAATGGCTCCGCCGAACATCGCCATAAAACCATACTGCTTGGCTGATTTGGATGTGAACGGCAAGGAATGTTTTTGTAAACCATCGGATACCACCGGCAAGATACATCAGAAGGGCTCGGTTCTTGCAGGGTTATTTTTAACATAGAGCGGCATAAACCTACACATGTACCGAACCCTGTTGAGGCAGCACGCGACGCCGCGCGAGCAGACAAGCCATTCCACACGCAATTCTGCAGCGATCGAAGGGCTTCAAAAATCAAATCCTGCTGACATGGAGCGCTGCTCACCAAACAGCAGCCGGCCCCCAGTTCCACAACTTGGCATCCATTCCACGTCGCGTGAGGGCTCACCTGTCAAAGTTGCAATGGTCGAGCAGTTGTTCTGCATTGGCCGTCTGTTGCCTCAATCGCCCACGTTGCGAGGTCCTGCGTGCGCTGATTTCCCTGCGAGTTTCTAGCTGCACCAGAGTATGTGGCTTCATTGCGGATCCTTGGCGGCTCGGGTCACGACTCCTCCGATTGCATTCTGCATAAAATCCTGCCACCGGATCAACGGCACGGCGCCAAAGGTCGCCCTTCTGCTGCTGCCACCATGCGCACTCGCGAAAGACAGATTGCCTCATACGTCCGCACGTGAATCGTACCGCAGCCCAAGACGTGCTCCTTCTCACCAGCCTGGTGCAGTGGCGCTGCATGGTGACAAAGGTTGGGTGCAGCGATTGCGCGTGAAGCATCTGAGTCAGGACACGAACTCAGCAAAGTCGGTTTCCTGTTGGCATGCAGTGTTGTTGCAACGGAAAATGTTTGTGGTAGGCGCTCCTCTGTCACGTTCATGCAAACAGCAAGAACAAGATGAGGCAGTTCCCCTCAACGTTCGAGAGAAGCTGTTGTCATTTCCTCGAATGCATCCAGCAAAGCATGCCTAGCTAGCGTGGTGGATGATCACCATCTGAGCTCCAGGCCACTAATCGCTCCTCTTGGAAGGCATGGCGTTCTCACATTCGGGCTCCACAGGTGTTGAGCTACGACGCTTGTGCTTGCTAGTGGATTTATTGGTGCAAGACACTGGCGGACTTAACTAACAATCTGCGATTTTGAGGGAAAAAGGCTTGGCAGGCCTGGGGCGCCTCCACCACACAGTGACACTAACTGGGCCCAGGTATCTAAGTGCACCACTTGCATCCAGCGTAGTTCATGAAGCGGATCTTCCCAAACACCTGACCGTAGGTCCACTCAGCAGAAAGGCACTGACAGAAAACCACTAGTCTGCCTCCCGCTCCTTCCAACCCATGTCGTGCACCTGCAGGCAGTGGCACGAAGGTGAAATCTTTGTCACGAGATGTCACGACCAGGTGCCAGGCCCCACAAATACTCCACATGCAGCCCACATAACCGTTTGGGTCGCGACCTCTGTGGCGGCGCACTTCAGCCCTCAACTCTCTGCTTTCAAAATGAGCTCACTGCCATCAAGTTCGTAGCGATCATTGAGCCAAATGCAACGTTCAAGAGCCTCCTTCGGAGATGGCCTTATGAAAGTGCAACTTTCGTTTCATAGTGAATCCCTCGACTCAAACCCAGGCACGCTGCGACCATTCAAGAATCTTCTTGGCCTGAGACATCTCCGTTGTTTCGAAGCTCAGGTCGCAAGCCGACAAGTTAGGTCACATACCCAGTACATTCGCAAGAAGCCATGCATCTTTCCCTGGGCAGGGTCAACTAGAAGCAAGTTGATAGTGTGACTACCGCAAGCATCGAGCTTCCACAAGTTCCACCCGATTTTCGTCGCGGAGCTTGCTGCGGCTTCCCCTGATGCTTTGCGATTTTGTTGTTTCATGCGCCTGAGATATCTGCGAACTGTTATGGCTGCCACTGTCCCACGAAGCTCTGCGGCAAATCAGTGCAGTTACATCAACGTCTTTGACGTCGGTGCTGCATGCAGCAGCCAGCCATAGCCAGACGCGCGGTCTCGGATGCTCTTGCCACATGAGCGGCAGAAGCTCGTTTCATTCATCCGTACCGCTCATGCAGCGCCTCACTCGTGAAGGACTCAGTACCGGCAGCTTCGGTTGTAGGAAACTCGGTCGTTCCTTCGTGGAAAGTACTTCAGCGTGGCTTGTCAACGGTTCAAGGCTTGATCGAGGGCATTGCCGGCCACGGCTCATGCACCATCGTTCCCTTTTTAACCTCATTCCAATTGTCGCCATGCCCAGTTCACGACGTCGAACCTTCTCCATGTGGTAGCTTCTGAGCTCGTGCTCCAGCTCACGGATTTCCTGCAAAACTGCTCCCCGCCTTTCGAACAGCATGCTTTTGCTTGGAACATGCTTGGACACTTTCTCCAATTTCTGAGCTTCGCGGACTGCTTGATTTAGGTTCTTCTCCAGTGCATCCATACCATTCTCCAGCCCTTTACCATCGAGCAGTCGAAGCGGACTGACGCCAAAAGCAGTTCGAGCAATGCTGAGCTCAAGCTTCTTCGGGTCGACTTGCTGTCGCATGTGAAGCTTCGGAGATCCTTGCTCCCTTGCAGGCGCCATCCAGTGTTCAGATGTGTCCAGACCAGTATCGTTGGGGAAACGAAGCTCGGACACAGAAGACTTTGGCGACGGCAGGGGCCTTCGCGGGGTGACTCAGCGATCGTGCGTCGCCTCAGCTTTTGGCACGTGCAACTTGTGCTGGCTGCATTCAAGCAGAGGCAGTCGGCCACATTTTTCTCGCTTGCTCACAGGCCAGTCTATCGTGCTTGCGATCTGGATAATCGCATTCTCAGCGAGACGTCCTCACACATCTCTCAGAGTTTTTGCCTCAGACTGTCCAGACAGGACGGATCCCTTAAGGGGAGGGGGACAGGGGATGTCTATTGGACCTGAGCGGCACGAAAGCCTTGGAGCTGGTGATCTTGTTCTCGACCTGACTTGCAAAGTGGCGGGGGGGCCGAGGTATTGAGGAAGGCACTGCTAAGCTGACAAAGCAAAGCTCTCGGTGAGACACTGCACGGAAGTATTCATGATGTGCTCCAAACATCAACTTGAGTATGGCTCCAGACTCCTCCAGCCGCGGCAGGGGAATTCAGGGTCATAAGTTTTGACGGTGATGCAGCTCTATGGGCAGCTTTTGTCCTGATATATAGGCACGAGTCTGCTGCCCAGCTTTTGTCGAACATCTTGGGGCGCATCCACCTCCACGCAGTGCGGTCAACCGTGCAGATAGCAGAGATAAGGCGGAGATGCCTTTTTGGTTGAGGAGCCATGTCCAAGCATTTCGAGCACTCGGTCTGCCTGGCAAACAACAACGCAGAGCATCACATGTGAGGCACCAGTTTAGTGTCCAGCCTGGTGTTCTAAAGTCCAGGCGAGTGTTCCGCTAGGGCCAGGGAAGTATGCCTGCAAGGTCCAGGAGACTGCTGGGCTCCTTCACTTTATTCACTTGGGGTTCCGTCCCGTAAGAGAAGTTGGGACATCGTAAGGCCCGATCTCTTGCCAAGAATCTCGTAAGACGAGGAGTGGCTTTCAAGTTGCTGACTTTCGCACATCGATGCCCATCGGAAGCATCCCTTCGGCCCTGCTCGCTCAACCCCGCTTTGCCAATATAAAAGCCATGAGCGCAACCCCTCACCCCACAGGCCGTTGCACCACACCGTATCCGGTCTGCTCCTGAGCTTGAGGCACCGCACCTGCACCGTATTCTGAGCCATTACCTGGCATCCATTTCAGCTGCAGCCTTCAGGTGGCTCGTTTTCCGTACAGGTCCTGCCCTTTCTTGTTGGGCAACCAGCCAGTTTAAATTGAACGCAGGACCGCGCCAGCCTGTTGGTTGACCAAGCCCAAACCCTAAGTCGCACTAAGCGCTAAGCAAAGAAACAGGTCACGAAGAATCATGGGCCGTGACGCCGTCACTTGGTCGTTGGCGCCAGGCTCAGTGGCCGGAGACTTCTCGTGCTGACAGGCGCCACAGTGGCATGTTGGTTGGCAAACCCAGATCCTGAAAGAAGAAACTAGAACCAAAGCCCAAACTACCCAGAGAGATTATGTTCGTCGGTAAAACCCCGAAGCACGTGGTATTCGCATCGCTTGATCTGGTTCGCACCGCCCGAGCCGACTCGCGGCGCTGATTCCAGGACTTGCGAAGCCCAAGTGAGCTGTTTGCAGAGTCGGTGCCCCTTTCATCCCTGTCCACACATGAAGGAGGTCTTGACCCAACTTGGCGACTGTGTTTCTGGCTACATCCTTCCCGTCGATAGGTCCCTCAAAGGCAGCCTCTATTTCCGTTCCCTTTAATTCGTCCACGGGAATGGCATGAAGGGAAACCGTTTGAAATCGTTGCAATCACAGGACTGAAGAGAAAACACAGGCGAGTCAAAGCTCAACATTCAAGACAGGACATGGGCCTTGCGCTGGTAGTCAGTTCTCAGGTCGAGATATCTCAGCTCATCAGACCACTTACCAGCCTGCAAGCATCTGCAAGTGTAATGCTCACTTGCAGCCTTTGGCCTGGCGCCTGCTTGCTCCAGTTTTGCAAGTGCTCCCAGAGTCTGTCGCACATCCAGTGCTGTGGTCCGACGAGGCCACCCTTCCAGCGTCAGCGACACCAGCATGTGCCGGCGTGTGCAAGCACCCTTCCTGCTCCTGGCCTCATGGTCGCCTATCATTGACAGCAGCCGCTGTACATCGTTTTCCTTCAAGACCTGACTGTAACGTTTGCGCTTGTGAGCTTGTGTTTCCATCTCGCTGAGGGGTGAGGATACATGTAGGGAAACATCAGAGGAGTGCGGCCTTGTGGATGCTGCGCCGCTCCTCAACGGCAGCATCCAGCTTCTTTAAATCTGCCTGGCCGACACCACCACGAGTGCACTCCCTTTAGTTGCACGACAGCCAGGCAGACAGTCATCCTCTTCCTATGCCTCGAGAAGCTCTTCGGCTCGCAGCAGTCGCTTTGCATCCGCTACAGATACCTCACGAGAGCGGTGTCAGAAGCTGTTCCTGTAGATAGATCCATGTGCTTGGGGCAGGGACCTTTGCTTTGCATTCTCTGCACGAGGTACCTTGAAGAGGTCCTTGAAGACCCTTTCCCTCCTCAAACCTGGGCCGAGTGGCGGACTAGTGTTGGACAGAAAACATCAAGCAACGCTTGAGAGGGGTACACCAGCTGATGGAAGACCTTGGCAACGTAGGTCCTAGATTCAGAACATAGACGCGTGCGCAGTTGGATCTGTGGAGCTGGCACCACAAGACCCGCATTTCGGGCAGCGAAAGCCGCGGCAAGGGTCCCAACCCACCTTCCATGAAGCACGAGAAGGATCTGCTGGCTGCTGGCCATGTTGCAACCATCGGAAGTTTCAAGGCTTCAAGCTGTTCCTCCATGCTGTTCTTTCACGCTCTTCCTTAACCTTGAAGCTCCATGAAATTTTGATGCCTCATCTGGCGGCACTGGTGCACACCGCTCGCATGTGCAGTCAAACTGCTTCGTGCTCTTCAAGGACCTGAGTGGCGTTGCTCTTGCGCAACGGAGATGAGCTCTAGGCAAAACCAGGCCTACCATGCAAGTACGGGTAAATGCAAGTCCTCTAATCGAGCAGAGCTTCGGGTGCCGCTATGCCCCCAGTGCCAGCAACAGCGAGTGAAATGAATCGAACCACTACTTGCTGTGAGTCACCACGAATGACCACCCGTTTGACTACTTCCGGATCCGAGAAGCTTTTTTCGTTCCTCAGCAGAGTGCAGGAGCACATCTTCCGGTAGGTACGAGATGCACACCTAGCAGGCGCTTGAAGAAGCCACATGATATCTCATGATACTTTGACTCGTTGTGAACCTCGTCCCCGGGAGCGATATCACGGCGCGCCTGGCAAATTCAAGGGGCAACCAGGAAATTTCACCCCTTGAGGGTGTTCTCAACACAGGCTCTCTCTTGACCTCACAGTTAGTTGTGCTTCCACTAGCAAAGCCTGAAGCTAGCCATGGGCCATGGAAATTCGCAGAAGGAACAGAGAACAATCAACATCTAAGGTTACTAATGAGTCAGGTTTAGGGCAGTGGCAAGCCCAGCTCTACATGATCTACATGTATACAAGATATGGCTGATGTTGCCTATACGACGTGCAATATTACCACAAAGGAAGAAAAACAGCATTTCTGATCCTGTGGCACGGCTATGACCAAAGTTTGGTTAGTCAGTCGCAGTACTTGAAACCTCTTGGTGGGTAAACCGTAAGCCAATACTGCTGGCACAGCCACTGTTGGTTACTTTCCCGCAAGCAGACAATAGCCAACCTAATAATATGATTCCGAAATCATCGAATGACTCGACTAACATCAGCGCTTCTACTAGTTAGTGCTGACATCGCAGAGTAGCAATCTTTTCTTGATCCCTGTGGTGGCTGTGGGTGCCCTTGCTTTTTCTAGTTCACACAGCGCGGGAAGCTGGAGGGTGCTGGGCCCTTGCTGCGCTTTCGCTAATTGCATGTTGAAGAAAGGACGTCTGTCCAAAAAGCCCTGACTCACCTCAGAATAGCAGATCCTACGGATAGTGTCGGTGTGGCGGAGGACAGGATGTCCTGAAACCCAATCCCTCCAGCCCGAGACCAGCCCCATCCGCCCAACACAAAAACGTCAAAAGGACACCCGAAATCACAGGCCGCAGACTTGACCTCACGGCACTATATTGAGATGTGTTCGTTCCTGCCTTCCGCAGATTGTCAAAGGC